TTCTTTTCTTATCATTGCAGAATGCAGCATGTCATATAAGGAATTAAAGCAGTGGCATAATCAGCTGGAAGAGCCCTGCAGGGTCTGTGATGGATAAAATTAAACTGCTCAGATGACCCTAACAACAATAGCATCCAGCACAAAGCCAATGCAGCTCTTTCTTGGGGTGCATAAATTAACTGCTAAGAGAGCTTTTGAAGAAAATATGGGATGGAAGCCAAGTCTTGTAAAGCAGAGAGCTGAACTGGTGACTTTGTGGAAAGGCCTGGTTCAGCTGCCAGAGGAAAAACTGACCCCAAAAAAATCTGTAACTGGGATCATGCACACAATTACTGTTGGTCGAGAGGGGTCGCTGCAGTGTTTTCTATTTGAATTTCATTTACAGGAATAAATTGCTGTGTAATTTAATACAGTGAACTAAAACATTTGTAAAGATCTTTATGTAACAATGGAAGGAAGATATTTGTAATGAGCCAAATGCTTATACATTTGAATTCAAGATGAGAAAAATCCATTTTCAACGGGTGCAAAGATCCGTGTGCTCAGTTAAGAATTGGCTCTTTACCACTGGCAGCTAAGGTACAAAGCTGATACAAAGGCACTGCTGCTGCATTAGTGTGTTTGAGGATGAATTTTATTTCATATTTTACCAGCCTTTGCACAGTTATTAGATAAATTGCTTGTTTAATAAGATTCAATTCAAGATTTGTTGAGTTAGCTTTTGTTTTGACCAATTTTTACAGAAGCTGCCTGACAGCTGAGACAGAAGACAGTGTGTCCATAACTGGGAATTTCTGTTATGTAAATTCAATATTATGACCACCAAAAAGATGCAGGACCCACAAATAAACAGAAAAATTACAGTTTTGATCACGTAGATGAAAAAAGTATTGAGAGGAAACGTGATCTGAGCAAATTCCAGTTGCTGTGAAACAGTCGCACAACTTGTAGAGTTGATGTAGAACCTGGACAAAGTGCACAAACACAAGAGAAAACTCAAGAACACCGGACAGGAGGAGAAACAACAACATCTACACAAAAGAGACGAGTTGAACGTCCTGGAGGATGGAGATTCAGATCCAACACAGCTGAAATGAACCCATGTTCACCCTGTGGTTATCTGAATAGAAGTGACTAAACTGAAATAATGAAGATCTTAGAACTACATTTTTGACACACATCCCTTCTCATGAGCACAAAAGGAAACAATTAAGCCGCTTTTATTCTTTCATCGCAGTATTTGACAAACAGAAAATGGAGTCGCGTGTGATTATTAGGTTTAAATGAAAGCTTAAGCTCAGCAGTCCTGCAGATTAAATGTTGCATTATGAGGCGCCCTCCCTGCACCCCCCACTCAAACATTTCCCAAATTTTTCCTCGAGGACACATTTAAAGGAGACTGGCGATGATCTTCTTCAGCTCTGAACACAAAAGCCAACAGGAGACGGTGAAAATGATCCATGAAGACGGTCCACTGAGCACTGAAGATCTGCAAAAGTTCCCTTCAGTCCCATCATACGTTTTCCATTATTTTGTTATTAAAATTGCTCATTAAAGCTGATATGTGTACACGATTATGTTCCACGTTCCCTCATTTCCATAATAACGTAAATATTCTTCTGTGTTTGGAGGGAACAAAGCAAAGGCTCAGCAGTTTCTAAGGGTTCACTATTCTGTGTCCGATATAAGGAGGGCGGTCAGTTTGCAAGCATTGTATAGGAGCATAATGTCTCGTGTGTGACACAGAGCTCCATCACTGAATAGGTTTCTATATATGAAAATGCCATGCAACATAGAAAGCACTGATTGAGCAGAGGAGGCAGCGTTCCAGAGCAGATGAGAGGCCGAACTTGTCTCTTAAATGTTGAATAACAACTTTGTCGGATGAACAGTAGTGCGTTTGGATTTACTATTCCACCCATGGGTAGAAACGTGGGCATGGCAGATTAAATTATTTGTTTTAGATCTGACCTCAAAACACATAGTAGGAAGTAGTCAGCAGTGGAGAAAAAAAAAATCATCCTTCACTTAGAAAGCAAAGCTGCACAAACAGTTTAACAAATAGGCATCCTGTATCATCAGGAAAAATAGACCTTTAACTACTGTTGGCCAATGTAGTCATAATGCGATCTGGAGAGGATGTGCTAGCTAGCTGTTAGATAAATTTGGAGCTAAGAGGATCGCATAAAGCAGAAGAAAACTAAAGCACAACAAAACCTACATGAATGTACCTAATTGCACACCACCTCTGGCTTTAGTTTAACTCAGTAGTTTTAAAGAATGGTGTGTTGCATTGACAGCATGAGGCCACAGCTGGAGGTCTGGGTGTAAAACCTACTGGAGCTGTTTCATTGTCTTCCATCTAAACCAACTGGAGCAAACCATTATTTCCCAACATGCTGCAGGCACTGTAGTCATGCTTCCTCAGGAAAAAAAACAACAAAAAAAACACACACACACACACACTCCAACTCAGCTCACTTGTGTTTATTTTTTTTTCATGGCACTTTATGATAAAAGATTTTTTCTTATCATTCAGTGTCACATAAACCAAGACTACAGATTGTTACAAAAGAATATAAAAATATAAATTGGAAGTTCATGGTGTCATTTTGTTACGATCACATAAGACAAGTGTTTGTTTGGTGTGAGTGACATCAGCACCTTTCGCGGGAGAGAAAAATGCATGGTAAAACTCTAGCTAAATGACAAAAAAAAAAAAAAAAAGCATTCGGTAATATCTATCACTCAAAGCATGTGGCTGCAATATGCAACATATTAATTGTGTTCAGAGCCCACCGCCATCTACAGGAGATCAAGCTACAGCAAGTCAAATCGCACAATTATTAAAAATAAGTTACAAAAGATGAACCAGTGGTATACACGAGACAGTGATGGCTGTGGTCAGTTTCAACAGAAAAACAACATATTGCACCTTGGACACCTCAATGAGAAGTTGCTCATGAATTGTGAGGAAAAGAGCGAACTGAACTCTTAAAAACAATCCACACCAACAGCGTTAATTGGGAGAATTACAAAGAGATTAAAGTAAAATATAATCAAAACAAACGGAATGTAGAAAAGTCAACAAAACTATACAAAAACAAAAGGCATAGCATCATAGTTCATATTGCTGAAAAGCATGAACGTGTACTTTTCAGTGGTGGGAAAGCAAACAGATGTCTGTTAAAGATTTGGTGAAACGCAATTATATCAATCTTGAGAGCTGCACTTCCAGAGGGATTCATGTAGTGTTATCTGAGAAATGTCTGCACACGTCTCCGAACGTAGGGTTCACAGGTGAAGCCTGACAGCTGCTGAGGACGAGGCACAAACATGACAGGGTGTCCAGTGTCCACAGACTGAAGCGTAAAGTCGGAACAATTAAACCTTAGGCAATTCGTAAGTTTACGAAACTGCAACCAGTATATCTAGATTCTTAACAGTTTCTTCCAAAACAAGGAAATAATTCTCCCCAAGTGTGGGAGGATGTTGGTTTCAATTCAGTCTAGAGCTGGAACCATTAGTAGATTCATTGTTTGTACTTTCTTTTAATTAACAGCTTAATATTTCAAGCCAAAAATGCTAAATGAGTTCTCATTCCAGCCTGCTTTTTTGCAAAATATAGCAAAGATATAAACAGAATATAATTGTGTTTTCCGCTGTTGGCTGGATAAAACGGATTCATTTTAAACTGTGTACTTTCAGAAATGTCACAGACAGTCAATCAAGAAAATAACCGACGGATTAATTAACTTCAGCCATGTTTCAGTCAGAATGCAATCAAAAAAAAAACAACAACACCCCAAAACCTGGGGTCCGCGCGGTTAAGGTATCACCATGGTAACCAGTTTGACCAGCACTTGGAATCTGGATGTGTTTATACTTTAACAGGAAGCGGAAGATTGGGGATTGCAGCTTTAGAAATCTGGGAAGCAATTACCAAGGACTGGCTGCAGATGTTTGTGGGTGAAGCCAGTGACCGAGGGTTTGTTCCACTGTGTAGCAAAGAGACTGTTTTGTGCACTCAGTTAATGAGTTGTACACAGAGTATGGTCCAGTGATGAAGAAGGGGGATATTGCAGCCCCCACAGATACTGAATCAGCATCTACTTTAAAGCACAATAGCACAGAATAATGAAGGGAAGACTGCTAGCTTCAGCCTTAAAACCTGAGCCTGAATATACAATTTCTATGAACAAAGAGAACTAAAATTAATCAATGGTGGGTTTCTAAGCTGGTATACAAAGCTACACTACATCAAACAAAAATGAATAAAAGAAAATAAAAAAATCAAGACAAGATAAAAATGAGTCATCATAAATAAAAGCTATGGCATGTTTCAATGGCATCATATTCAAGTAATCTTGTTAAAGTCCCTGATACTTAGTGGTTCATGTAAACATTGGAGTCATTAACACAGACACAGAACCAAAAGTTCATAAGAAGGCAGCAGCATTTCATATGTACAATACACAAACAAAGTCCATGTCTCCTTCACCATGCTGGTCCAGTCACATCAGTTTGTGTTTAACTCTTTGAGTGGTTCGGGAGAAAATTAAAACTTTAGTATGACAAAGCCTGTAAGAGAGCCACGTTTTCACTTGCATGTGTGAGGGCTCTGCCGCAAGGCTCGACTTTGGAGATGGGAAAGATGAGGAAAGAGGAGAACATAAAAGAAGAAACAAAACACTGCAGGCCTGATCTGCGGACTTCACCTGCTGTGCATGAAACATTGAATTCTTCGTCCCCTCTGAGGTCTTACGTTGTGAGGAATTCCCAAAGGAGCCCTTCAGCTCGTTTTATCAATGTTTGCTGACATTCAGGAGACACGACCAAAAATTCTACCGGCGTATACAGCCTTTTTGTGCCCTGCCAAGTCTGCGACAAGCCTCTATTTTCTTCTTCTATCCTTCTCAAATGGTGGCTCAAAAAAACAATACCAGCCAAATTTTCCTATTTAAAACGTGTTCAATTTTTGGGATTACTAAATGGAAATAAAAAAAAATAAAAACACGTCAAGCAGCAAGACACGCTTATCACAGATACTTTGTGTTCTGTGCACTTCTAAAATTGGCTCAGCTATCACACAACTGAGAAGAGGCACTGAATGAGGTGGGTGTGAGATCACACTGCTGCTTTCATCTCATTCACAGTGATGACAGTCTCATAATAACACAGATTTATAAATCCAGTTCAGAATATGGCAGTAACATTTTTGCAGCGCCTCTATATTTAATATGAGGCAGTGGAGCATTTGTCACGTCAGTGTGATGACTTCCACTGGGTCTGTCTTTCCTTTGGACCTCTGCTTGCGTTTGAGGCGTCTCTGCGAGAGGGACGAGGGAGCTGGACAAGCTGAAGGTGTTGCAGTGCCGACGGAGAGAGAGAGGAGGTCTGTGAGAGGGTGTTTCGGGGTAGGGAGTTGGGACGGAAGCATAGCAGTCGACTCCCGTTGGGGTTTGTGTTCCCTCTCCGTCTCCTGGCGTCACCTGTCAAAGCAGCCAGCTGTGAACGTGTGATGAGCCCCCAGGTATCCCCCGCTGTAAGCCATGCTCAAACAGTGTCGTGGCTCTCCAGCGAGGGCCATCTGCACAGAAATGGGGCCCTGAAGCGGCAGCGCACGCGCCCCTGGCTGCAGACCTGATGTGAGGCTCGGGTAGGAGGGGAAAGCACCCCCAGGAGTGATGGAGGGAGCCCCAGTTAGCAGACCCATCCTGTGGCTCTGGAGGAAGTCCTGAGACATGTTCACCACAGAGCCCAAAGCCTGGGAGTCAGCTAGTGCTTGGAGCTGGGAGAGAGACGGGGAATGCTGGGAAAGGTGTGGGAAGCCATCTGGCTGAAAGAGCAGCTGTGGTGTGGAGGAGGTGGAGGAGGAGGAGGAGGCTGGTCTCTGGATGGCCGACACCGGAGAGGAGAGGTGAGAGGGCTGGGACTGCAGAGAGGAGGGCCGGTGAGGAGGGGTGGATTTAGCTTTGTTGGCCTCCTTCACATCGTTATCATGAGCCCTGTGTTAAAGGGAAAGACACACATTTTCAGTGATTATCATAATGAAAAGATGAACTTAGAAGTCTGGAAAATGTATGCAATTTGGTGGTGAATTACAACTAAGATCACAATTGTTCTGTGGGCAGAGAGCAAAGTGTGTGAACGCCTGAGTAAAAGATCTACTCAGAAGAAAGTGGCTGCTCTGATAAAACCAATAATGCGAGCAGAGATTAGTAACTCCCACACAATTAGCTGTTACATGTTATACTTACACAGTTGCACACAAATGAACACACACTGGAAACCACTTAGCAAGAAATCTGCAACTTAATTATAGCTGTTAAACTGCACAGCTCTGAGAACATCAGCTATGATTATCAAATGGACAGATTGCACCAGATGATACACACATAAGCTTTCACTTGTTAAAGACACACCTTAAAATTAAAAACCAAGGCAGGTGAAAGTATGTAAACATGATGGCCTTAAGTCTACCTTGAGTTCCCATTGCACTTTAAGGGGCTCGTCTGCCAGCCTTGCTTTCTATGTCTGTATGCATTTTATTCTGTATTGATGTGTTTGTTGGTGTGTCTCTTACAGCAACATGAGTTCAATACACTGGGTGAGGTGGTCCCAGGTGTAGCCTGTTAGTAGATGCAGAGCAGTCGTCCAGCTTGGGGAAATTTGAAGGCAAATACGTGACGCTGCCACACATGCAGCAGCAACCTGGGATGGTCTGAAACTCAGGAAGGCATGGTCTGCAGGAAGACAACAGTTTGATTAATTCTTTGATTAAAAGTACACAACACACTGATCAGTTCATGTCGCACACTTGTGAGGCAGACACTCACTACTGAAGTCCAGCTCAACAATCTCCTTCTAAACTCACCCTGCAGTGAAACCTCCAGGAAGTAGTGAGTATATTTGTCCATGAAAGCCTTGGTCTTGGAGAGGGAGGACAGAGGCCAGCCATTGTAGAGGTCACCCTCCTGCACTGAGGCATGGAGGTAGTAGTCAATAAAGTGGGCAGGTGTGGGCATGCACAGATTCCAGCCAAAGGTCTCCAGTAGCAGAAGTTCCATTTTGATCAGATCCTTCTTGTTGAGAACTAGGTTGAGGCTGCACATAAAGCCCAGTGAGTTCAGCTGCTCCAGTTTGGGAACCCGGTCCTCCTTCTCTTCAAATTTACCTGGATAAGAAAGCAACAGAAAGAGTTCGGTTAGATTTCCTCATCTGAATACTTTGGAACCATAAAGATGGAATATACAAACACTCAACACTTATTTTCACATTTTTAAAACGATGTATTTTGTGTAATATAGACATTTAAGCTTCTATAACAGTTTGCAGTTACTTTTGGCAAAGCTTCCTCTGCACTGCACAAAGGTTGCAAGTCTTAAAAGATGAAAATAATCTGACAGCAACACAAAAGTCAAACAGCTTTTGGATACTGGATTAGGCTTAGAAGATCTGAATGCAGGATTTTTGTTTTATTCTTGATTTTACCAATAGAATTCTAAATAATGTTGCAAAAAAAAAAAAACACAGTATCCCACAAAAATGTGTTTCTTGCAGAGCTAAAACCATCCGTTGATTATGCAAACTCAAAACAGAAATGTATTCAGCAGCAAGGTTTGGTTTTGAGCAGTTATCAAGGAAAATGCAATATATTCCAGTTTGTCAGTCTCTCATCAATTACTGACTTTGAAAATTAAAAACAAAATAGTGTTTTTGACTGTCAGTCAGGCAAAAACATTAAATTGTCAATTGTCAACATGCTCACTGTCAGTAATAAATGCATTAGTGTCACAATATCTCCCCTCTTTAGAGTATTTCCCTGAACTGGCCGTGCATTAAAACTGGACCAAAGCACAAACTGTTTGTATGGATCAGATGGAATGTAAAGCATACTACAAAAGAATGTAAAAGTTAATCCATAGTGATGGAAACCAAAATTCCATCCGTGACCCTTGCTGGGCTCCATATCTAATTTATTGACAATTAGGTGAATATGTAAGTAAGTTAGTGAAGTAAATGGTGACGTTAATTTGTTTGAAAGCTCATAATATCTGCATCTGACAATAGATTCATTCATTAATAAATTGCAGTTCAATGGATGTAGAATTCTTACATCTACAAAACCTAAAAAGGTTCAATCTTGACATGTGGTGATGAAGATGGATCTTTGCAAAAGAATGTCTATTAATTGCTTTCATCCTTTTTTTTTCCAGTGATTACTATCATGTGCAGCAGGTTTATAGCAGCTTACTCCAGCTTCCACAAAACCTAACAAGTGCCTACTAAGCATTTGCAATTAAGTTGACTACTTCTGAACATCTGGCCATAAAGCTAAGCTATTACACTAATAAGCCTAGAGAGGCAACACTATAGGCTTGCAGAGAGTGCCGCACTTAGAGTGGATTATAAAAGCCTAACACTTTCTATGAAAAACCTAGTCAGCTCAATCCCCAATATTTCTGTCCCTATGTCTCACCCCAGATCCTCACAGACATTTGAGCAATGTCATTATGGAGAGCCCCCTCCCCATCACAAAACGTCCTCCTTTCCATAGCAACAGCCCCGAGGCCTCGGGGGGCCATGCGACCAATGAAAAGGGGTGTTTCTGCTTTTAATCCAAGGGTCCAACAGGCCTCCTCTCAAACATTAAGAATGAGGGCGAGGGGGTGTCAGGTTACTCTGATACAGACCTCCCTCTAAAGCATGTGCCTTGAACTACACACAGCTTTTAGTGGAAGGCTGTACTGAAACTGAATGGCTCCCAAAATCATGGCTCAACCTATAATTGCATTTTTGAGGCTGATATGACGTAAGGAAATGACATGCAAACATGCCACAATTGCGATTTTTAAAAAAAATCAGGTAACACTTTAAAATCCCCCTATGTAGAATGAATCAGGAACACAGAAATGGTTCATGAGGGGTTTATTAAAATTTTATAATATAATCTTAAGAAGATTAGTTTATTAGTGTGTTTGTCAACGACACTAACTCTCCCTGTGGACACTCATGAGTGGATCCTGGTGTGTCAGCAGATTAGGAATGATTATACTGTAAAACAGTCGTGATAATATATGGCTTCATAACACAAGTTACAATTGTTGGTAATTACTGTACATGTATAAATACTTAAAATGTCCTTGCGGCTGCTCATTACTACATTACAGTGTTACAAATCATTTATTAAACATTTATATTTACAATTTAGCAGTATTTAACAGTAAATATTTATATGCTGTTTATGCATGCTAAATGGGGGAGAATTCAAGTATTATCTTTGATATGTACTCATTTTACAGTTCCTGTCTTGTGGACAAACAATGAAATGTGTTTAAAAAGCCTAAAGCATTTCTTTGGCCTTTCCATACTGCTGCTTTTTATTCTAAACCATCAGTTGCGGAAAAACTCCAAATACGTTTGCAATAAGCCAACATTGCCAACACTTTGCCAAGCAAATTTTCAACTCCAGCTGTATGAATTATCTAGCTCTGGCCAGAATTATTCTTAATTTTACCACATTTGTCAAAAGTATTGTTAGTATGACTCTAAACTGAAAATAATTACGTCTCTAACTACTGACAAAAACACATTTGCTGTAGCAAAATGGGGCTTTCACAATCCATACAAACATACAAACCAAGCACGCGCATACAGTACATACTGCTGCCTGCTGATAAAGATTACAGAACATCCCCTTGCTAGGATTTAAAAGTGTGTGTATCGGCTTGGTAGAAATATGCATCAAGCTGGGAACAACAACAACAACCTTCTGTTGGGGTAAATCTTTTAATCTAAAACCATGGCAACCAAACAGTCGAAGTAGGGGCTTTATTGACTAAAAAGTGAGTACTCCAGGAAACAACTGTCCAACATGCCATAGCTATTGTCATGGCCTTCGACGGAACACATTTACCTCTTTATGTCTAGTGGAGCATGGTGTCTTTCTACATAGTGCAAGTTTTATCACTGATGTTGCGACCCACCATTAAACCGTGCAGGAGAGAGGAAGGGAGAGGGAACAAGATCTGCAGTCCAACATCCCGGTGGGTGGGGGTGAGGGAGTAATTAGCAGAGAGGCAGTAATGGCGTCTCTCCAGCAGAACAGGAAGCACAATGAAACAGGGCTGTTTATAGCCACCAGGACTCGTTCCATGGCCCTTCCACACTTGCCCCATTCTCTCACCCTCATATCCTCTGCACCAGTGCTCTGTCTGCTTCGAGACTGCTATGTCCACACAGACGCAGCCATAAAAAGCCATCAATGCCCCCAATCTCCACACAACCCCAGCTCCTTTGATCTTAAGAGACACAGCACAAGTCAATCTCCGTATTGTGCTCTGTGATTAGTCCTCTGGTTTACAACTGCGGGTGACCAGGCACATGAGAAACATGGGATATCCAAAAGCTTTAAAAACAACAACCAAAGCAACGTGAGAGGAATCTGCAGAAGCACAGTATGAGTTTCAGCCACAAATCGGTTTCAGTTACTGTAAAATAACTGACTCCTGTGCATATTACAGCCTGAGTGATAAAACAGTGGCCTCACTCATTTCAAACGGTGGGTGGATACATATGCATCAAAAAAAAAAAAAAACACATGGCTAATTGAACCTACATCCACATTTACACATTTTGTTTCAAAAGGCATAACTTCTCCTACATTTACATCTATTGTTTTAGGACCCCTAAAACAGACATTTGGAAATGTAAGACACAGTTTTACTACTTGCATCTGGAAAGGCAGAAACTGAGACTTCTGAATATTGTGATGCAGACATCCACATTTGCCTCCAGACTATGTCTCATCAATCATTATGCGTCCTTCCCTGATTCGTCACGCCCATACCGCATGACCTTTTCCAGAAAAAAAGACAAAAGCCTTGACTACAAGTGGTTAACTCAACATGGACAACCAGTTACATGTAGTTCTGACATTTCTATCTATGCTAGCAACTGTTGTGCACTTAAATTCATCTTTTTTTTTCATGCAACTACTTCCTACACGAGCAGGAGACAAGCTACTGCTCAAGCAAATTCTTTCTACAAATAAGCAGCCAACCTGCTTTGTGCATGCCTAGTGTATGGGAATGGTCAGATGATGTGTTTTCTCAGGCCTGGTAGAATGGACAGGGATGATATCTGGATCGCTGCTAAAACCTCGTGTCGACGGAGGTTGATCCTGGTTCTGATTTTTCTGCAGCACAACACAACATGCGCCAGTGTTGGTCCAGATATCAGTCGTTATCTTCTGATTGACTGCGATTGCTTTTTACTATTTATTACTCAATAATCTACTTAGAATCCAAGATTTTTTCAGATTTGTCAGATTGTTTTGGTAAACCAGCAATCAGCAACCAAAAAGGTGTCCAGTTTACAATAATAGATAGTCATACAACCAGTAACTTTTCCCATTTAAGAAGCTGAACCCGATTCATTTTTGGCATTTTTGCTTTAAAATTACTTAAATGGTGTTAAATTGTAAATGTTCTGCTGACTGCCTGGCTCTTGGTACACATTATAGACACATTCCCATTGATAAGAACAGTACTTTCATTGAATATCCAACCTTATCCTGCAACATACAGCACTGGCCAGCTAATTCCATGAAGGTTCACATACCAGTTTGAATACATCAGCATCGTACTCTTTCACCATTTGCCTGACAAGTATGCAACTCAACGTTTGATAAGCCTGGACTTTGTGCTGTGTATTTCATCTCCTCACTGAATCCTTGTTGAAACATGCCACCACCATCGCAGCTCCTTGTACTGTTCTACTGTTTTCAGTCTGAATGCAGCTTGAAATAGATGCTGCATTCCTCTCCTCTGAGTTCAGCCTACCTGGAATGCAGGCTGTACAATGATCCTATCTTAAGTCAGCAAATGGGGAAGAGAGACAGTTGAGAAGTTTTTTTAAAAAACATCCTTTCGTTTCATCTACTTTAACTACTTCTCCATACACAGCATCTACGAGACACCTATTACCCACAGGTGACAGTGATGATGAGAAAAAGGTTGAGCAAACAAGCAGAGGTTAGAGGTCAAGGGTGAGGGAGAGGTAAAACCAGGATGCAGGGCCTCCTCCCAGGTGTGCGGTTTGGGGAAGAGGAGGCGGTGGAGGTGAAGAGGGATTTAGAGTGATAGGGGCAGTTAGGAAATCTGGGAGCTACAT